CCCCAAAACCCCAAAACCCCAAAACCCCAAAACCCCAAAACCCCAAAACCCCAGAAAAATTAAAAAATTTTGAAAAGTATTATCAGAATTAGTTCAAAATAATGGAGAAAGACGAAAACTCATCTTCTAGCAGCTTGGCTGCTTCTATAGCCGAGCTTCCTGGATCTAACGACTTAGAGCTTGCAAACACTGCTTTGAAGAAGGAAGGATACCACATTTTCAAAAGCAAGAAGGACGGTTTACATAAATTCAGGAAGATCAAGGGAAACAAGAAGTATAAAATGGCTGCACAAAAAGAATTTGACCTTCTTGCTCAACTCATGTGTGACTGGGTTCAAGGATACATGATGGCACAACAGAATTTGAATAAGGTGATGGTCCCATTTGACTATGAAGTTGAAATAGACTTCGCCCAAGCTCCAATCTTCATTTCAGATGACTGGGAGACAAATACTGAGAGAGCTCTCGTCCTGATCCAAGGGACAGGGGAGGTACGCGCAGGTCTCTGGTCTAGAAGCGTTTGCATAAACGAAAGCATTGATCTTGGGAGTATGATCCCTGATATAGAATTTGCACAGAAAAATGGGTTCTCAGTCCTTGTTATGAACCCTAATTATGCACAGAGTTCAAATGGGGCTGAGGTTGATCCCAAAATCAGTGGAATGGTGAACCATTCCAATTATTGCTGGGCCAAGTTCGTTGAGGAAGGAGCTTGCCCGGCTCAAGAGATCTGCGTTGTGGCTCACTCTGCAGGAGGCAGATGCATGCATCAGATTATTGTTAATTATGAAATCACTATGATGACTAGAGTCAAGGCGATTGCCTTAACAGATGCTTGCCATGGAGCATTCCATAAGGAACTTAGTGAGGAAGGGCAGGAGTGGGCTAAACAAAGCTGTATTGCTTATGATAGATCTAAAAAGCCATTGAACACACCTCTAATTAGGAAGAAGCCTAAGTCTATTTTTCCTGAAGTCTCAGCAGGGCATTCCAAACATGCTTATACCACCGGGTGTGCAAGAGAGTCTTATCTTTCTTGGTTCTATGAGAGATGCAGTAACATTTAATGCTGCTTCTTCACTCAGAAATATGCCAGAAGATGTATCATACTTGGCATTTTCAACTGTAAATTTATCTAAAGGGGTTTTGGGGTTTTGGGGTTTTGGGGTTTTGGGG